GTTCGCTGTTTGGTGAGGGAGACCCCACGCGCCAGCGTGGCACCACAGTGAGATGACGTGGAATCCCATGCGCAAAGTCGCTCCCTGATGCAGCCAGGTTGACTCAAGCAAGGCAGAATACCCCGTACAGCTGCTGGGTCGACGCTGCTTCGGAGTGTTGCTCTCGGCGGCTGACAAAAGCTTGGCCAACGACTTTTGTGTCAAGAGGAGCCGGCGACGTGGTTTTTCCCGATTGTCCGCGTCCGTCGCCGTCCCGGTGCAGGGTTGACTCATCAACAGCTGCCAGGTGCCAGCAGGCCGCGAAGACCACGTGGAACTTGGGCGAGGCACAACACTACACACCTGACAGGAACCGCAGGGTGATTGTCACTGTTGATCACTTCACACACTATGCTCAACCTGCTGCGTTTCCAGAGGCCACATCATGTGGAGATGACTACTTTACCCTTCAAAATCTTGTTCTTCGCCATGGTGTGGCTTGCGAGCTACTCAGCAACCGCGGATATATGCTTTTCTGCAAACCTGTAGAAGCCCTTCTTCATGAATGCAATGTAGTACATCGGACAAACAGCGCTTGCGATGCACAAACTAATGGAATGACCAAGCGATTTAATCACACACTGGGCGAAATACCATCTATGTAAGTGTCGGCTGACCACACCAACTGGGACTGCATACTACCATCTTTTACTCATGCTTAGAACAGTGTCATTCAGTTTATGACAAGATTCTCTCAGTTTTTCCTTCTCCACTGGTGTGAAACTTGCTCATTCGTGGACACCATTCTTTTGTACGCCCGGACGCTTCAGAATCCACAACTCTATTTTAAGTAGCCACTCAAGCGGAAGAATCCAGGAAACTCGCACGTTCCTTAACAGCACCAGATCAAGCATACCAGAAAGACCGTCATAGAGAAAACATTTCTCAGTCATATTTGCCTGGAACATTGTTATGGCTTCGCATTCCCTCATCTGCTCCTGGCCTTTCCACAAAGATACTGCTGAAATACAAAGGCCCCTACTGAGTCCTACGTGAAGCCTCACTGGTCAACTATATTGTTGAGCCAGTTCAGCTATCAACAAATCAATTCCGTTGCGTTCGCGAGACTATTGATATTGATCGACAGGCATCACACTACGACCCACTCGTTGTACCCGTTCCATAGGTCGCCAGGACCATTATGGAGGTCCTGGTGACCTATGGAACAAGTACAACGAGTGGGTCGTAGTGTGATGCAGTGACCATAGAATGGTATGGTCTCAAATTCGCCTAGACTTGAAAAAGGAACAACAGAAAGTGATACACAAGAAGCCAATAAATGAGCTAGCGCTGAGAGGGAAATTACAGGAATTGAGAGGCTCGCTTCAGAACAGGTACTCGGCTCTTATCGAGGAATCTTAGCGTTGACGCAATGAATGATAATCTGACAAGTATCATTATGGAGTGTGCAGTGGAAGTTGGAGGTACAGTACACTGGCAGGACACTGGTAAGCTGTCTCAGGAGACGAAAAATCTCATTAAGAAGCGTCAAAGCATGAAAGCTTCAAGTACAACTGACAAAATAGAGTTGATAGAGCTTTCGAAGTTGATTAATAAGCGTAAGGCATCCAATGTAAGAAGGTATAACATGGAGAGAATTGAACACGCTCTGAAGAACAGAGGAAGCGTCAAAGCGGTGAAGAGGAAACTTGGGATAGGCAAAAATCGGGTGTATGCACCAAGAGACAAGGAAGGCAAAATAACTACCAGTATGGATAGAATAGTTGAAATAGCAGAGGGGTTTTACAGAAATCTGTACAGTAGCCAGGACAACCACTACCTTAATATAAGAGCTAGCAGTAACCCAGATGACACTCCATCAGTAATGATAGAAGTCAGAAAAGCCTTGGTGAGCATGCAAAGAGGCAAGGCTGCTGGTGAGGATCAGGTAACATCAGATCTGCTGAAAGATGGACGACAGATTGTGTTAGAAAAACTAGCTATTCTGTTTACGAGGTGTCTTCTAGCAGGAAGAGTACCAGAATCTTGGAAGAATGCTAACATCATCTTAATACATAAGAAAAGAGATGACAAGGACATGAAGAAATTACAGGCTGATCAGCTTGCTCTCCATAGTATACAAGCTATTTACAAAGGTAATTGCTAACAAAATTAGGACAACATTAGAATTCAATCAAGCAAAGGAACAAGCAGGATTTCGAACAGTCTATTCAACAATCGACCACATTCATGCTATTGATGAGGTAACAGAGAAATGCTGAGAATATAGCCAACCACTATACATAGCCTTCATATATTACGAGAAGGCATTTGATTCAGTATAATTATCAGCAGTCATGCAGACACTGCGAAATCAGGGCGTCGACGAAGCATATATAAACATACTGGAAGAAATCTACAGGGTATCAACTGCTACCATAGTGCTTCATAAAGAAAGCAACAAAATACCAATCAAGAAGGGTGTAAGGCAGGGGGACACAATCTCCCCAATGCTATTTACCGCGTGCTTAAAGGAGGTTTTCGGAAGCCTAGAATGGGAACAGTTAGGGATAAGAGTTAATGGAGAGTACCTTAGTAACCTGCGCTTCGCCAATGACATTGCGTTGCTGAGTAACTCACGGTACGAATTGCAACTCATGATTACGGAGTTAGAACAGGAGAGCAGGAAGGTACTTCTTAAAATTAATCTGCAGAAAACGAAAGTAATGTGCAACAACCTCGGAAGGGAGCAGCGGTACGAGATAGGTAGCAGTCCACTCCAAATTGTACAAGACTATGTCCACTTAGGACAGGTAGTAACTGCGGAGCCGAACCACGAGATTGAAGTAACTAGAAGAATAAGAATGGGGTGGAACACATTTGGCAAGTGCTCTCAAATCATGACAGGTAGATTGCCACTATCCCTCAAGAGAAAGGTATATAACAGCTGCATCTTGCCGGTACTTAGCTACGGAGCAGAAACCTGGAGACTTACAAAGAGGGTTCAGCTTGAATTAAGGACGATGCAGCGAGCAATAGAAAGGAAAATGGTAGGTGTAACCTTAAGAGAGAACAAAAGAGCAGAGTGGATTAGGGAACAAACGGGGGTTAAGGATATCATTTTTGAATTCAAGAAGAGCAAATGAACATCGGCCGGGCATGTAGCACGTAGACAGGATAACCGCTGCTCGTTAAGGGCAACTAACTGAATTCCCAGAGAAGGCAAGCGGGTTAGGGGGGACAGAAGGTTATGTGGGCAGATGATATTAAGAAGTTTGCGGGTATAAATTGGCAGCAGCAAGCACAGGACCGAGTTGACTGGCGGAACATGGAAGAGGCCTTTGTCCTGCAGGGGACGTAGTCAGGCTGATGATGATGATGATCATAACTACTATTGTGGCACGGTTCGCAATGAAGCTGGACTGGAATTTGTGGCAGAATCTAAGATTACAGGCTGAGTTATCGTTCGCATCAGCTACATCGAGGTGTTGATGGAATGTAATAAAACTTCTGTATCGTGAATCGAACTTAATGAACTCAGTCATAAAATGCTTCTTTTTTTTATGTTACATACATTTCTGAGGGAAGTGGCAAAATTCGGAAGTGAAGCAATCAGAGAGAAGATCACTTGTTGCACAATGTTTGCTACAATAATGTGCTGGTCCATGTGAACCTTTCGTTTGTGTCTTTGTGTTGTGTGTGCTAAAGTTTCAGAACGTTTGCTAGTAACACTAATCTTTCTCTTTCTGAAGTGGTTGATTGGCAAAGCTCTTTCCAGTTTTTAGAGGAGCTAGTCCACGGCTCTTTTGCTACAGTACCCTTTGGGCTGCTGTGTTGAGTTAAATGATACAATTTATGAGATCTGTCTTGGTTTCTTTATCACTAGTAAATATTGAAGTGCTAATACAAAGTGAAATGATGGGTTTGAGCATTGCAATTGATTGCAGGGAAGAGTGTATGCTTTGTGTGACAGTCAAAGTCGCTCACATTGCATATTTACGTTGCTCGTGACATCAGTGCATTGACTACGGATTGATGAGTGCTGTGAGCATCCTCTCTGTAGTGGGGTGGCTGGCATCAGGCCCCCAAGCTGAATATCTAATGCAGCCCAATGCCAAACAAGCAGTGCCAGTGTAGTAAATCTGCTGCAATGTAATAAGAGAACATAAGGCAACACTCTTCGAGTAACACATGCTTTGTTGTTGGTACAGAGAAAGCACAATACTTGAGGTCAATATTTGAGGCAATTTCCTGTCGACATTTGTTCTTGATTCTTGGTCCTATAGTTAAAAGACAGCTCAATGTATTCTAACTTCTGCAGCAATGAAACAGTTTGAAAAGTCTTTGATAAAGGGCTCATTTAAAAGTTGTTTCATGAAATTACTCTGTAGGCAGCGTTTTTCAAATTTGAGTTCGGAGGATTTGTGCAAATTTCAATTTGGGGGCTGTTGACTGGAAAGGTTCGACATATATATCATGAAGATCCTACATGATGGCATAGATTTTGACACATTGGGGACATCCAACGACTGGAACCAACTTCTCTCGGACATGGTTTTCATTTCAAATCATGACTTGTTTTTTTCTACAATACAGAAGTACTTACGTGATGACACGTGAAGTGTATATTGTACATATATATTATTGTACTCTGTTTCCCCCATGTTTCTCACAATACTTACACATACATTCAGTGTATTGCCTAACATCGAATTTTCATGTGTTGTAATCTTTATTATTTCGATGTTACTATGTTTGCTCTTGTTTATAGTTTATTATTTTTTTTTGTGCCCCACTCCCCTCTTTGAAGCTATGTGCGATTGAGGGTAAAATAAATGAAGTGAAATGAAGAAAATCTGCAGTGTAGTGACCTGCAACAGCCACTCCATTGTGTGTTTATACTGATAGCTACCATTTTGTCACATTACTCGGCATGTTTTATCGAGAAGTCCTGCATGTTTATTAGTTGGATGCAAATTACTCCATCTCATGGCCGGTTATTTTTCTTTTTTCTTTCCCAGCGGCCAGTTCAGCTGACCACTCAGTCATGATGTGGCACTTGAACGAAGACAAGCGGGCGCTACGGTTCACTGGTCACACGGTGAGCTAACACCTGATCAGCATTTTTTTGCTGTGAATTCTGATGGGTGTCTCAGTGGGGTTACCCAAATTCTTCTGAGTGAACAAATCGATCAGGATCGGAATCTGCTGTGGTAACTCAGTGGCTGCAGCATCGCACCGATGATCACAAATTTGTGGAATTGATGGTGACTGTGGTGGTCATGCTTTCATAGGGCTGAGGTAGAAGAATACCAATGTATTAATGTCTAAAGATGGGTTGTATAGTAGAGCTGGTGCTATGATTGTGTCTCTGTGCTCAGAATCATCACCAGCTGAAAAGTTAGCATCTTGTGAACCAAGAGTAAGACAGTGGTTTGATATTGGATTAACCAGCCTAAAAAAAAAGTCACAGCTTTACCGCAAAGGTGAAGCAATGAACGTGATAGTAACAAATTGGGAGATCATACGCAAAATGGTTAGCATATCGAAATGTGCCCCGCGTTTTTCACACACAAATAACACACGAAACATACTCTTAGGTACAGGTGAACGCGAATAAGCGTCTCAGTTGTTACTTGGCTGTGTCTGAAAAGTTCGCTCTTTTCGCAAACGTAGACTGTACAACGATTGCAGTGACCTTTTTGCACCCGGTAACTAAAACAGAATTGGCAAAAGTTGAACACCCGTCAAGATGTACGATCCTCCCTACCGCGAAATAAGGGCGCGCGAGTCAGCATCGACCCCCTGCTCTTTGCGGGGCAAAGTGCGCGTGCGAGATAAGAGTGCAGCCGCCGCGTGGTGACGATGTTGCTATGCGCACTCATTGCGCCATCTTGCTCGTAATGCTGAAAACACTATAGTTCCTCCCCCCCACCCCCCAAGATGCCCGTCAGCAGCAGTAAGTGGTAGATATAGATAGCTTGCGAGTTTAATGTTGAACGACTTGCTCCTCGATGGCTCGGTGGTTAAGGCCTCGCACTCACAATGCAAAGGACCTAAGTTCGATTCCGTGTGCTGAAGTCTTTTTCTGGATTTTTTTCTTTCTTCCATTTTTATATATATAGGTACATATGCATACCTATGCCGTGAGTGACGGCGACGCTGATGCCAGCAAAATCCAGACGAGAGTGTTCATATAATAGCTGTGACAATAAAACTTGTATGCTACTATACACTGCGGAAAGCAATGGGGGAGTTTGAAAGTCAAAGGTAGAGAAAGAGGGAGAGGGGGAGCATGCACTGACTAAGTCACACACCTTATAGGCATACACTCAAACCTCAATTAACGAACCCAGGTATAGTGAATCATCAGTGAAACGAAGTACATGAAAAATAGCTCTGTCATTAATGCAATGCTACAAATACATGTTTATAACAGATTCTTGTATATAAAGTATTTTCGTGCAGGTGTGGCTGTTATAATCAGGTTTGAGTGTATTATTGACAGTGGTTCATAACTGCCGGTGCAAGTGTGATGTCTTGAAGAATTTGAGCACTGTCTACATCGACTTCACGCCGTGGTGACTTATCAGGACAACATTCCAAAATAGTTACCGCTGTCGTTGCTGTGTGGCCTATGCGAGCTAGAGCGACCGCCAGTGATTGTCTCCACACACTGTAGCAAGGACACTTGCGAAAGATGTGCATGGCAGTGTCATGGTGAGGAGGGGAAAATTGAGGGAAAGATATGCGAGAGAAAGCATAGGAGAGACCATCTTTCAAGACGAATACCCTTACTCTTGTTAGCAGTTGGTTAGAGTACCTCTCACTTATGGGGGGAAGTCAGAAGCTGCCTGGCAACACTGGGGAACCAAACCAAGTGCCTTCTGGACACTGTGCCACTTCACCACCACTGCCATCCTAATGTGCCGGTGCTTTTGAAAAATAATGTCCTCCTCTCAGTTTTCTCCGATTGCTTGCATGCTCCCACAGTCAATGCCTTCGGATTGGCTGTGGTTCGTGCGTTTTGATTTTCACTTGCACAGTCTTTGTGTATCACCACCCAGTGCATGCACAAAAGAAAAGGAGTTGTTTAGGACCTCATTTCTTTAAGGGACAATAATTTTTGTTTTCAACTGTAGTGTACTAATTACGATGTAAACCTAAGTGAATTAAACTGGATGAAAAAGGTCCCTTTTGGTGGTACCCTAACTCACAAGCTTTGGATTAGACGCCTAATACTCTACCAATTGAAGAGCAGAGGGAGCTTCCTTGTTCACTTTGTTTGGTATTTTATGTATCTTTAATAGGCTTGTGCAAATGGTGAACTTCAGGTTCGAAGCGAATAGTGATTTTGGCCGAATAATTTCGAATTGAATTGAAGTCACATATTATCAACAAAAGCGGGCGCATTTGTCTGGACCCAACTAACCTGCATTGTATTTTCTGAAAATTGAAACAAGGCCTGTGTAAATACTATTTTTCTTTGTTCAAAAGAATCGAAAATGACTTTTGAATAGTAGATGGATTTGACTCTTGATAGAATGCAAGTGATAAGCTGTAAAATATATTATGTTTTCTACTTTACTTTACTTTGAGCATATAAGTTAGTAAAACAAGCTTTTAAACTTAAAACAAAAATTATAAACCAATGTGACAGTAAAATGTTCATTTAACCTTCAAATAAGGCTTTGCGTCAGTGTGGATATTTTTTTTTTTTTCGGAAAGTTGTTTTCATGGCTTAGCACCTCTTTGAAGCAGTGAAACCATCTCTACAGGGGTGACATTAAGACTAATAATTCTATTGCGATAGCAATTTTTTTACCACGTAAATGTAGTGCAAAAAAAAACGAGGACAAGAAAGTGTATACTACAAGCGCTTGTGGTTTAGACTTTTTTGTCCTTGTCTTTTTTGGGCTACATTTACGCCGTAATAGATCAGTGCCAACTCGCTCGTCTCTCCGTTTTGTAGCAATTATATGGACACTCTCTGCTGGATTCTGCCGTCAGTGTCATTCATCGTATATATATATATATATATATATATATATATATATATATATATATATATATATATATATATATATAGGAGATTTATTGAGCAGAAAGATTGATACTTGGAAGGCTTGGAAGGCAATGCACCAGCCGCAATTTCCGAGCTCGAGCCGCTGCTGCACGCTCGATGCTGCTGCCTCTGCGCCGGAGTACTTCCTCTTCTTTACAATGGCCCCACGGAGAAAAAAAAGGAGCCATCCTGGCGACTTAGTCCTGTGCAGGCGGCGTTGAACCGTGGTACTGCTTGAGCCTCTGGACATGTACAACCACGCGGTTGCGACGTCGCAAATCTGATGGTGGGGTAAGAGGCTCAATGAGGAAGTTTACTGGCGAAGTTTGTTCGAGAATACGATATGGCCCATCGTACTTTGGCAGAAGTTTGGAAGAGAGCCCAGGTGTGCGATGCGGCACTGACAGCCACTCAAGAGCACCCGGAAGAAAAACGGGAGTTGAAGTCTGGGCATCATGAATTGCTTTTTGCCTGTTCTGGTCATCACAGGTAAAGCGACGAGCTAACTGGCGACATTCTTCTGCGTGTCTGGCGGCGTCCAAGATCGGTAGGCACTCGGACGCGTCCTGTCGATAGGCCAGAATGGTGTCAATGGTGTGGGAGGTGTGGCGGCCGTAGAGGAGGTAAAAAGGGGAGAAGCCTGTTGTCGCTTGTGTTGCCGTATTATAGGCGTATGTAATGTATGGGAGGACTACGTCCCAGTTAGAGTGGTCAGGCGTCACATACATAGATAGCATGTCACCGAGAGTAGGATTAAAGCGCTCGGTAGCCGCATCGGTTTGAAGGTGGTAAGCGGTACATGTGTGATGTACAATAGCACACTCAGCGAGCAATTTTTCAATGACCTCGGACAAGAAGGCGCGGCCGCGGTCACTGAGGAGTTCTTGAGGGCCTCCATGACACAACACAAAATGACGCAGTAGGAAAGTGGCAACCTCCTGTGCTGTAGCCGTTTGAAGAGCAGCGGTCTCAGCATAGCGCGTTAGGTGGTCGGTAGCAACTATTATCCACCTGTTGCCAGTCGGAGTCAATAAAAGTGGCCCATAAATATCTATTCCAACCCGTTCGAAGGGTCGAGAAGGGCATGGTAAAGGCTGCAGTTCACCGGCAGAGGCGTGTGGTGGAGATTTTCGGCGCTGACCTTCGGCACCAGAGCGGACGAAGTTGCGGACGAAGGTATACATACCACGCCAGTAGTAGCGATGTCGAAGCCTTTCGTAGGTCTTGAAGACTCGTGCGTGGCCACATTGTGGGTCAGCATGGAAAGAGGAACAAATCTGCGACCTCAGGGTTCGTGGAACGACGAGCAGCCACTTGCGCCTTTCTGGTGCATAGTTGCGTCGATAGAGAAGCGTGTCACGTATCAAGAAGTGTGGAACTTGGCGCCGAAGCGTTCGCGTCTTTGGGAGTTCAGAAGTGTCGGAGAGATGATTGAGGAGAGACACAGTTCACAGGTCATTGCGTTGTTCGATAGCAATGGTGTCAAAGTCAAGCGATGACAATATGGAATCGCAAGCGGAGTCAGCTGTGGCATTCTGGGACAGGGGGGAACGGGAAAGGGCGTCGGCGTCAGCATGCTTCCATCCTGACCGATAAACCACGCGTATGTCGTAATCTTGAATTTTCAACGGCCAGCGAGCGAGGTGGCCAGATGGGTCTTTTAACGTCGAAAGCCAGCACAGCGCGTGGTGGTCGGTCACGACGTCAAAAGAACGACCATATAGATATGGGCGAAACTTTCCAAGGGCCCACACAATGGCCTAGCACTCCTTTTCTGTGACGCTGTAGTTGCTCTCAGCCTTGGTAAAGGTGCGACTAGCGTATACCACGACATATTCCTGATGCTCCGGTTTACGCTGTGCGAGCACAGCACCCAGGCCTACACCACTGGCGTCGGTGTGGATTTCAGTTGGAGCTTCAGGATCGAAATGGCGTAGAATGGGTGGCGTCGTGAGAAGCCGTCGCAAGGTGGTGAAAGCCTCGTCGCAGGCAAGGGACCACGATAAGAGGTCTTTACAGTTGCTGAGAAGTTGCGTGAAAGGTGATATAATAGATGCGAAGTTTCAGACGAATCGCCGCAAATACGAACACAAGCCGATGAAACTTCGAAGTTCTTTGATTATGGCAGGTTTAGGAAACGCCGTAACAGCTCGCAATTTCTCGGGATCCGGGAGGATGCCTTCCTTGGAAACAACGTGGCCCAAAATGTTCAGTTGATGCATGGCAAATTGACATTTTTTGAAATTTAATTGCAAACCGGCGTTAGTTAAGCAAGTAAGGACGTGCTGAAGGCGACGTAAGTGTGTGTCAAAGTTAGGGGCAAAGACCACGATATCATCGAGGTAACACAAGCATATCTTCCATTTTAGTCCACGCAGGATGTTGTCCATCGTTCGTTCGAACGTTGCAGGTGCATTGCAAAGTCCGAAGGGCATGACGGTGAATTCATATAAGCCATCTGGCGTGACAAAAGTGGTTTTGGGGCGATCGGCCTCCGCCATAGGCACCTGCCAGTAGCCTGACCGCAAGTCTAATGAGGAAAAGAACTCGGCACCCTGTAAACTGTCCAAAGCATAGTCAATGGGTGGTAGTGGATAGACATCCTTCAGCGTGATCTTGTTCAATCGCCGGAAATCGACACAGAAACGAATAGAACCGTCTTTCTTTTTGACGAGGACCACCGGAGATGCCCATGGGCTCTGTGAAGGTCGAATGACGCCTCTGCGAAGCATGTCGTCTACTTGGTCAGCAATGACGCGGCGTTCTGTAGCGGACACCCGATATGGTCGTTGTCGCAGCAGTGAGTGGGACCCAGTGTCGATGTGGTGTTCTACTGCTAAGGCACGGCCGAGAGATGTTTGTTCAACGTCGAAAGAATGGCGGTAGCTCTCAAGGATGGTGAGGAGTTGTGAACGCTGCGAAGATGCCAAATCCGCGGCGATGAATGGTTGAAATATGTTCGCCGACGTTGAGTCAGCCGCTGAGACGACAGCCAGCTCACAGACAGAGGTAGAAGGCACCTCATCGGGGACGGATATAATTCTGGAAGAACTGATTGTCTCGACGTGGCCAAGGCACTCGTGACAAAGTAGGGATAAAGACGATGACTCATCATTATAAATTGGCATTGTGGTTGAGCCTTCTACAAGGTCGAGAGCAGCAAAAGGCAGGGGGAGGGCTCTTCGGGCGAGGAATATTGGAGATGGTGTGAAGAAGACCGTGCCGTCGGATATGGCGCTACATGAAACTGGCACGAACGCAAAAGAGCATGGAGGGATGTAGGTGTCATCGCTAACGACAAGTTTAGCGGTGGGTGTCGACGGACGCTTGGTCATCAAGTGAGCAAAATTCAACCTCAGCCCTAGCACAGTCGATTACGGCGTTATGACGCGACAAAAAGTCCCATCCCAAGATAACATTGTGGGAGCACGGTGAAAGAACCACGAACTCTATCGTATACAGAACAACCTGAATTGTCACGCGGGCTGTACATACTGCGGTCGGTTGAACAGGTTGAGCACTCGCTGTGCGAAGCGATAATCCGGAGAAAGGCGTCGTAACCTTACGAATTGAGCGGCAAAATCCAGCATCTATAACAGAAACAGCTGCACCGGTATCTACAAGAGCGACAGTAGGGATATTTTCGACGAACACATCAACAACATTGGTAGGTGACGAATGAGGACTTGGGCAAACCGAAACTTGCGCAGTTCTTGCCTCAGGAACTGCGTCGTCTAGTTTTCCTCCTCGTTAGGCGCGGGCCGTCGACGCATAGGAGAAGGCGAGCGGCGGCGTGGAGAGGGCGAGCGAAGACGTCCTGACTGAGGGCGGTGGTCGTCCTGGTAGCGGGCTGGCATTGGAGTGGAGGAACCGTATCGCGTGTTGGAGTCAAGCGGGAAGAAAGGCTCACGGCGGTTTTCATTGGTGATATGCGTCCGGCGGCGGCAATACCTTGCGACGGGTCCGGGGTATCGACAAGCGTAACATATCGGGCGATTGTCGAGGGTGCGCCACGGGTTGGCGGTGTTAGTGCTCCAGTGAACTGGAGCTGGGGGATAGCTCGCGCGAGGCTGGAACGGAGGCGCAGGCGCCTTGTGAGTTGGCATGGCTGTAGCCGCGGCGTAGGTGAGAGGAGCAGCCACAAGATTAGTCTCGCGAGCAGCTGGTAAGGTCTCGGCGACCTCTCCTTGAATGACACCACGTAGAGACGATGGTAAAGTTGTGGTAGGTTCTGGTGTGAAAGGCTCCAAGGAAAGCTGTCGTGCAACTTCTTCGCGGACAAATGCTTTTATTTCGGCTATTAGTGACGCTTGGTCATGACCACTGATCATACTAGACAGCGATGCCAAATCGTGCACTAGAGAACGTCTTGTCAGAGCTCGCTGCTTCCGCAATTCATCGTAGCTTTGGCAGAGGCTAATTACGTCGTTAACAGTGGTCGGGCTTTTCGCCAAGAGCATTTGAAAAGCGTCGTCATCAATCCCTTTGAGAATGTGCTTACATTTTTCAGCCTCCGTCATTGCGGCGTTCACGCGTCTGCACAAATCGACGACGTCTTCTATGTAACTTGTGAAGGTTTCACCAGTTTCTTGTGCGCGTGTGCATAAACGTTGCTCGGCACGAAGTTTTCGGACGGCAGGTTGACCGAAGACTGCTACAATCGACGTTTTAAATTGCGGCCACGTTCGGACGTCTGCCTCGTGGTTTCTAAGCCAAAGGCTGGCTACACCCGCGAGGTAGAACGACACGCGTGTCAACTTGTCCGTGTCCGTCCATCTGTTTAAAGCGCTCACGCGTTCGAAAGTCGAGAGCCAATCTTCAGCGTCGTCATCTGTTCCACTGAAGATTGGAGGCTCCCGCTGAGGAACACTGCCTGGACAGGTGGCCAGAAGAGATGGACAGGTGGCCAGAAGAGATGTCCCGTGTTCTTTTTTTCCCTTGTCTGCTTGCTTCGTTAGTTATGTCTACTCAGTGCATGAGAAATAGATACACTCTGTTAGCTTGTCACTTCATTCGTCCTGAAAGATAGAAGTATGAATCTATAGTATTGAGGCACTGTTAACATGAGAGGAAATTGAAGTAATGGTACTTATGCTGGAAATTTTGTATTTGTAAGTTTGTTGTAAAGAGTGCTTCTTTATTGAAGCTATAAGCAGTTAGTGTGGGATATAAGAACAAAACTTCATTGGTTTCAAGTGCTTTTCAGTGTGGTGTTCATATTAATGAGTTTTCACTGTGCTATGTTATTATTTTTTGCATTTTCCTCAGAGTGAAGTGTACGGTGTCAGGTTTGCACCCTCTGGAAACCTTCTGGCATCTGCATCCCGCGACTGCACTGTTCGCTTCTGGTTCATAAACAGGTCAGAGATCGCCACACAATCCTCTGAGTGTCGAATTTTTTCTTGCTAAAGACCATCATGGTAAACTTTTTTTTGTTTTGTTTCATAGTAAGCTCTCGTTAAATGGAACCTAAAGGGACCAAGAAAATGTGTTCAATTTATCAGGTGTTCCTTTTACTGAGAGATCAACAAGGGTGCGAAATACAAGCATGAAACCAATCGTGCAGGAGGCGACTGTTCCATATAGGCAGCACTTCTGTTCAACATATTTAAGTTTACTGAGAGTTACTTTATACTTTTCAAACATTTTGAGCAATGTATGACATGATTCTACCCCCTCTCTCTTTTTCTTTTAGCATTACCATGAACTGAAAAAGGTGGTTCTGTAGCATTTATTACTTAGCTTGATGGGGGCTAACAATGTTAGGCTTAATGAGGATAAATGACATAAAGCAAAATTAGCGTCATCTTCTGTTCTTTTGTCTGTCTCCTTAGGCAGGACGAAAGTAAAGTTCTCCGGCCACACACTGCAGCTGTGCGGTCGCTGGACTTCTCTCCCGACAGCCTGTCATTGGCAACTGCCTCGGATGACTTGATGGTTAAGGTAAGCAGTAGCTTAATGTGCAGTTTACTAAGGCGCAGTTCTCAGGCACACATTCGTGGTTTGAGCAACCTTTTCGTTGGCGCTGCCAGCGTCGGCATAACCGATAGACCGAATGAGAATGAAACAGAGTGAATTCAGAGTCAGGATTTGTCAGGAATTACTGGCTTCTAACCTCGCTGCCTTCCTCCGTCACGCGCACCGGCCTTTCGGTTGGAGCTTGTGTGCATGCGGAGCTAGCATGTGCATTGCGGCTAGTTGTACTTGCCATAACAAGGCTGTCAGCGTATCACTTTGTCCACAATGCTTACGATGTGCAGAGTGGTGTGTGTAGCGCTCGAGTGCTGGCACTTTCTGGGGCCATATGTAACTAACGTTCCATTGCAACGACCACACATAGTCAAAACATCACAGTTGGCACTGCAAACAGAAAGCTGTGCTCAGAATTCACATGAAGGGCAATTGTCAGTGAACTTTTATTTATTCTATTAAATGTTAATAAATATACTGCTGTCTATCTTGGATCACAGAGGAGTGGCACATGAGCTCAAAAAATGTACTTTTGGACAGAAAAGAACAACAAACAATGGCAAGGCAATCGGAACTGGTCGAAGAGCGCTTTAGATCCAATTCACTTCAAAGGTTCCTAGGATTTTTGTTTTACAGCTTGGTTAGACAGGTCATTTCAATCATTTTTTTCTGTGATGAAACAAGGAGTATTTAAAGAAGTCGACTCTTTGGATTAAAGGCGTAAGTGTTTGTGCACGTCAGTTTTTGGTTGCACAACCCAAAGATGGAATGAAGATCTGCGATGTGTTGGTTATGTACTGGCCATTCACCAACTGATAAAAGAACTTGATACCGTACTTACTTGGACGTGCTTGCCTCGGTTACGACAAACCTCAGTTACCTTAAACCGTAGTGACATTCACTTAGATGAAAAGCCTAGCTGCAGTTATCCCACTAACTGTGGTTTCTCCAAAATGACGTTAGGGAAGCTATCTAACTAAAGGACAGACACTTGTTTTAGCGGTTTGAAGGCAACGTGGCTCCAACGGATGCTGAAGCACCTTGCCAAAGGCTAGTCAACTGGCCTTTCTTGACTGCGGAGATGAAGACATGCGAAAGAGTCCATCAAAACAAACCGGGCAGGAAACATGGCAATACATAGCAATGCTGTAGTGCACTAGCGATGCCAGATGTACCACGCAATGGATTGCCTTAGCTTTAACATGGACCGCTAAATGACTTTGTCCATAGTTACAAGACGAGCCTATCGCGATACCAAATATTGTCAAAATTTGTTATGGAATGCACATGTCATTGGCACCAAACACACGAGAAGTGGAGTTGCTGGCTGGAAGGACTTATTTCAAATAAAATACGCTGTAATTTCAAGTAGAGTTACCAAAACTAGCTATATGTTTATATCTTTATTTGCAAGACTGAGTGTCGTGCGGCCTGCTTCACAGCACCATACTTGGGACAACCTTTCTCGTGTAACATTTGCCAACTTCAGTTGATGCTAGTTGTAGTTTACTCCGGTTTAACTCGGTTAGTTATAACTCAGGTTAGCATCCCTATGTAACGACAGTATGCGTCTACTTTAGTAACCAGTGGGGAAATATTTTTTTTAATCAATTCACCCACAGTGCTGCAGCGATTTGAGTTGTAAGTGAATCTTGTAGCCTTATGTTTTCTTCTTTATTGTTTTTCTAATTTTCTGGTTTGCTTTTGTGAAAGGTCGCAGATTATCACCACATACTCTAACATAGGGCTGACAATTAGTTTGTAAACAAGCAAAAGCGCTTAAGTGGTTGCTAGCTTGAATATACACCTTAAAAAGAATGACTTTCTTAGGACATTAGCTGCAATGCCTATGTGTGCATTCCAGGAGATTTATTGTAGGTAGGTGCTATTCTAACGCAGTTAAAAATGTTAAGGAGATTATGCTCCTGAAAACTGTTTTGTGCACTTGTTTTCTTTTCATCGTTAGCAATTATCACTGGCCTAATGGGCGCCATCTCTCGTCCTGGGTCGCACCACTATTCCCAGGATCTTTCACGACTGTTTTAGAATGTATTGATCAGCTGTATTGATCAATACATTCAATGATCAATGTATTGATCAGATTGCATGCCTAATGGAAATAGGTGAGTTTATCCTTGCAGTATCGGGAGTAGCTGCAATGGTGCAGGAAATTTCAGTCATGCTGTATGAAAGCCAACATTTTTTGTTGTCAGAGTATCGAAGACCGTGCTGTGCTGTCATTGTACCGCAAGTGTTAACTTGCTTGTAATGCAGGTGTTCCTTATGCTAGGCCTTTGTGGGACCTTCTAAGACTTTGCTTAGCAAGCCTGGCTAGTTTTTTACAAAGTTGAAACAGTGCGTCTTAAAATGCGACACTTCTGAGTGTGACGCTTCTGTATGTTTATAGCTGTTGCCTATGATTTACACTATAGTAGCCTCTCACTTGACTGATAAACAAGTTTCAAGCTCTTTTTAAGCATAACAACAGTCTAAGCATTAAGGTGAAATACTTAAAAACCTGTATTGAAGCAATAATTTTATTCTGAATAATATTTTAGAAACGGAACTTTTTTACCTTAGACTATACCGTATTTACTCGCGTAATGAACGCATTCGCATAATAAATGCACCCCCAATTTCAGTCATCGAAATTTGGATTTCTTTTCCCCGCGTAATAAACACATCTCCTACATTCATCCGCTGCAGTCCCCCTAACCGACACCTAGCACCTCCTCAGCCATTGGATCTCTTCCATTTTTTATTATTTTGCCGACCCGCCTTGGCCACCGCGGCTCGCTCCCCCCCCCCCCCCCCCCCGCTTCACCCGTTGCCACAGGCCGTATTGTTTTTCTTTCCGCCGTCTTATCTGTGCACCACAACGGGGTTCAGGAACAATGCGAGTGTAGAGACATCGCAGCTGATAAGCACACAGCAATCAAAGGTCACGATCGTGACTGCTCACTGTGTGCTTAAACTGCCCGCGCCAACCGATCGACGGTCGCTTCCTGGGAATACGAAAAAGCCCAACAGCATGCAGGCGATTTTCGAGCGATGACGACAGGAATTGCAGTCGCAAGGGGTCACTTGTTGCCATCGCGTAGCAGGTTTCTGGAAACCAGAAAAATCGCTTGTCGTCCAGAAAAGATCGTGACGATTTCCGCAACATGGTAGTACCCATTGCTTCGCTTGTTATTTGTGCGTAGAGGAACTTCTCATGTAGTAGCGAGGCGGTGGCCATATTTTATTGTTAATCTTGTTATCGGCGATTTGTTTTGGTGCTTCGGGAGTAGCTTGCTACAATGTTGGTTACTTGCTGTTATGTTAACGGTGTCATCAGGGGCGTCGTGCGAGGTCGCCGCAAAGTTGGCAAAATGTGTTGTAGCACACGCTTTTTCACGCCCCTCGAGATCACAGCAGATACCACTGTTGTGGTTAAACAATTGCAAGAAAAAATAGCCGCAAAACGCTTTTGTGGCATGCGCCGACGGCCCGAGCGCCATCATGCAACCACCGAAGATGAGTGAAGTGCAACAAAGAAGCTGTTGCCAAACAGTGTATGCCTATGTCAATTGTGAAAGGATAAGCAACCTAACTTCTGTTGCGTCACCGCATTTTATGCCCCTCCCGAAAACGTTTTCATAAAATTTACCCCGCGTAATAAACGCACCGCCCAACTTTGCTCCGATTTTTCGAGAAAAAAAGTGCGTTCATTACGCGAGTAAATACAGTATTTTCTTCCAGTAATGACTCATTATTACCATGAAGTGTGGGGGGGTATAGTTTGCACTTGTGTACCTACCAAATCATTGTCTTAGCTCTGTGTGAATATAAACTTTTTTGGTCAAACAGCAAATTGTGATTATGGTATCGGATAATTTCATAAAGATATAATGCTGTCAGTAGAATTTGTATCAGCCCTTGGTTCCTGATGTTGAAAAATCCTTGAAAAGTTTAGAAGTTGCGTCCCTACTTGCCAAAAAGAAGACAGCTGAATTAAAAAAGGTCACTTTATTTTCGAAGTTTAGAGTTTCACTGTTCATATAAGTATATGACATTATGTGTTTATGCGAGCTTCACTAATTTGCCCCCGTTCTTTGTTCTCAGGGACGGTGTCAGTTTTTCTTTCTCTCTTTCTCTCTCTTTTGCCACTGTGTGGCTTCGTGGTTTTGGTGCTTGGCTGGTGACCCAAAAGATGCAAGTTTGATCCTGGCTACGGCAGTCACAATTGGACGAAGGGGAAATACTGAAAACTGATGAACTGGTCGATGACAGTGCATATTAAAAAACCCCAGGTAGATGAAGTGTTTGTGAGGCCTCTACTACGGTGTCTTCATAACCAGAATTGCTGTGGGACATTACAGTAGACTAATTAAATGGAATCTGAAAGGACCAAGAAAACATGTTCCATTTGACATGAGTTTCATTTACAGAGAGATGACCACAGCTGCAGAATCCAAGAACGAAACCAAGCAGCTTCGTTTAACAGAGTTCAATTTACTGAGAGTCTATTGTAAACGTCATAAACAAACCAATTGCTTGTTTCTTTTGTCTGATTTCTACCTTCGCAAGGTTTAGTTGTGTTCTGCTTACTTACCAAAGTTTGAACCTTAAGTGTGACACAAGAAATACAAGTTTGCAAACGTTCATCTGCAATTCGTTCTTGATTTTTTCATTCTGTCTGCCAAGGTGTGGTCGGTGCAGCGTCAGAACCTGCAGCAAACTATCTCCGTGCACCGCAACTGGGTTCGTTCTGTGAGGTAAGTCAGCTGGTTGAACATCCAGAAGTACTCTGCTCTTGAGGTTGTTCTTAAATAAAGTTAATTTGTCTGCCTGTCCGAGGATGTTTCTTTCGGTAAAGGCAATCACTTTTGGTGGCTATCACTTTGATAAAGTTGGCTGTATAGGAAGCATACTCACCAACACACTAAGTTTCTTGGTTGCCTTTGTAAACAGTTGCTCACGCTGATACTAACGTCTTCTCGTGCGCTTTGTTCACTCAATAATTGTTTGTTTCACTCATAACCTAACCTAATTAAAAATTATTTACTAAAGAAATTAACCTAACTAATTAGAAACAAATTATAAATGTATGTTTATGACATATTGCATATGCACATGTCATTTACCTTCGTTGTCTATTCAACTCACATGATACCAAATTTGGTATAAGTGGAGTTAGCGAAACAGCTGCGAGCGCATCATAAGCGTGACATGTAGTCATGTTCTTACAAGGTACGCATCTCATGATTATTATGTTTGCACCACTCATATACCTTCGTCGCCTATTCATTGATTCGGTCAGAATTTTAGTGCACGACCTAGAGGCCCAACTTTTTCCACTCCTGGAGGGTGCAATTCTTGGCCTTTCTTGTTTCTGCTGAAGCACCAACAGATTATAGCTCTCAGAAAAACTTGAGAATTAGCATTGAATCGGCATCTAGTAGTTGAGGCTACTAAAGGCTCTTGAGGGACTGTCAGCAACTCAATCGCCTTATGCTAACCGCTGAAAGCTCTAGCACTGTGCATTGGTAAAACAGAACGGCAGTTAGTCTGACATTCATATTTGTCTGCTTCATGTCTGCTTACGGCTATGGGGTGGTATACCAATGATTGAGCAGCAATGATTGAGTTTGAGGTGGCTTTCGTGATTTGTCGTTTAACCAGTATGGTGCCCGTCAAGTGCAGGCTTTTCGGAATCGGCAGTGTAATTCAGCGCTAAAATGCTTCCAAACACTGCAGTAGGGCATTGCTTACTTTTCTAAAAACTCTGACGGAACTTGTAGTGACAAGCTGACAAGAGTGTCGTTGATAAAGGTGAGAGCAGCTTCGTCATCGCAGATAGCTTTGTCAACTCTGGTTGACTCACAGAAAGCACCGTGTGAGCTGAGGACATACTTCAGCACACTTGGCTTTGTCAGGAGTGGTGCGTGTTTTAAGGATTCAAAGTGGTAGACATGATATGGTTTTCAGGGTACTTAGTAGTGTGTGTCTATTTTACAAAAAAACAGGAAAACTTAATAATAGCGTGCAGTGATTTTGAGTGGCGGTACTGTATGCAAAAATAGCACAATGATGAACTCCATTGGAGTTTGGGCACTTTTAGGACACACATCTCAAGAATATTGCCTTGGGTACAAATGAAGTGTGATGTTGCGTTGTTTGAGGGTGACAGGCAGTACTTGCATGGCGCAACGTGCACCTCTTGGCTGGACTGAACTGAAGTGCAAACAGCATTGTTATGGAGTGTAGTCTTTCTCATATGCTGTTACTTTGGCAAATTTTGTGGGACTCGTTTATTGTGATAGCAAGTATAGGGACACTCTCAGCGTGTTTCTGCCATCGCCGTCATTGCTCTTTATGCCATTGCTTTATATGAAGTCTAAATCAGTAACATCACACCCCTCATCGTATGTTTTGCATGCTAGCAAAAGCGAAAGAGCGCAACTTAAGCATAATTGAGACAAGTCGGCCATCATAGTTGCGCAAAGGGTGCATTCAATAAAATGTCGTGTGAGAGACCTGCGCTTAATGGCCCCTAAATGGTGAGTGAAATGCCCCGGCCGTCTTTCACCAGGCAAAGGAGCATTGGTGTGAGGAAATTGAGGGAGGGGCGAGGGAATGTGCCGTTCGAGCAGCAACTGTGAAATTTGCTCGTATTGGTGCATTTGTGAGCGCATGGAACACGCACTGTCTCGACAGACATCAAAACATGGCTTGTAAACTTTCTGTGCTCTCAGCAGCGTATCGGAAGAAGACGAAAAAGAAAAAAAAAATTATACTTTTGACCGGAACGAAAAAGTAACCAAAACGTCTATTATTTCGTTCCAGAAGGAAGCCGAAACTTCTTAATCATTTTTCAGTTCACGCAGAAACTTGGCAATCTTCAGCAATCGAAGTCATACAACGTTAGCAGTAATGCGTACCTCAGGATACAAAATTAGCATGTATATCAGGTGGAAATGCTGAAGTGAAGATGCGTTGAAATTGTGCAAAAGACTAAAACAGTGGCAAACAGAGATCTTTGTGTCAAGTGTACTTTTGTATGCCTGTCACACATGCGAGCATGGAGAGGGCATTCTCGACGTGTAAATTTGTTTTATTACATAAGCAGTGGTCTCGCATATAAGAGGTATGCTCGATGACGAGCTGCTTCTGAGATCATGCTCACTTCTTTGATGCAAAAGCATTCAGCCCACTCAAAAATTCCTAATTCCCTCTTGAGAAAGTGTAGTATACCTTAGAATGGCACTGGTTCGTGCTGACTTTCAGGAATTCTCGGTTTGGTTCTACTTCACTTGAAAATGTGTTCTACGGCTGTCCCACTTTTAACGATAAGACAAATTCAATATGTTTGTCATTTCTCTGACTTCAAATTGTTGCACTGAAATAATTAACCTTACAAATAGTTACGGAACATTTTTTTTTTCATTTGGAGCCAGAAATGGAACGGAACATTTTGTGGTAGAACAAAACTAAAACCGAAATAAATACTTTTCGTTTCGACAGCCTGGCTCTCAGTGCTTCTCACTTAGAGAACTGACTGCACAAAGACTGTTTCAGAATGGCAGTGTTCTCTTGAAGCAAGCATTTAATTAAATTGTGCGAGATTGGGCCCAAAAGAGTCAGCTGCCAGCCTTACTTCGTATAACATCTCAGTTTGTTGCTATTGCATTCATCGCTTCGCCCTTGCAGCAAAATCTGGAAGTTTTTTATTACACTCGGAACTCCATTAGAACAAAGATTTATTATGTAAATGTATCCAGAACCCTTGTGCCTCTGCTGCTATACAGTAGAATCTCGATGATACGATTACGGTTGATACGAATTTCGCGTTGATACTGTCGCGGTTCAACGTAAGCAGTGAACCGAGACGTTGAGTCCGAGAACCGATGGCGTGTGTTTTTATACAGGAGCCAAGAGCAGGCGGGCAAAACAAAAGCACGTCGTCTTCTTCAGTCCCCCTTTTCACGAGGCTGTTCGAGCGCACATCGTCTTCGTTCTTTGTTTCGGGCATGGCATTTGCCTCCCCTTAAAAGAGCATCGCCGCGATGCTATAGCTGAGACAGTAATTCGCGCATGAAGTCACTTTGTAGAAGCGACGGTGCCTGGCAGAGTCACTCGCTGACGTATGACTTAATGCGCACTACGTGCACAAGCTCAGGTCGGTGCTGGCGACGCCTTGAACAGTTTCGGCTATCCGGGATGACTTCATAGGTAACGTCACTTAGTCGTCGCAGCACTCGACAAGGTCCGAAGTACCTTCTGAGCAATTTTTCGGATAGTCCCCTTCTTCGTACAGGCGTCCACACCCATACCCTGTCCCCGGTTTCGTACGTTACAGGTGTATGACGTTGGTTATAGCGGCCTGCGTCGTACTCTTGCTGTTGGTATATTCGCAGACGTGCGAGCTGCCTGGCTTCCTCTGCACGTTGACTAAACGCGTCAGCACTCATTTCGTTGTCATCACATTCGTGTGGCAGCATCGCGTCTAACATCGTTCTTACTTCTCGTCCGTGAACAAGGCTGAATGGGGTCATCCGTGTAGTTTCTTGTTTCGCAGTATTGTATGCGAACGTTATGTAAGAGAGAATGTCGTCCCAGTTTTTGTGTTTGATGTCCACATACATTGAAAGCATGTCTTCCAGAGTTTTGTTAAGTCGCTCGGTCAACCCGTTGGTTTGTGGATGGTAAGCTGTCGACTTGCGATGAATAGTACGGCTGAGCACCAACACATGATCTAAAAGCGCAGCCGTGAATGCGGTGCCGCGATCTGTTATAACGATCGATGGCGCACTGTGTCTCAGCACAATGTTCTCTATGAAGAACCGGGCTACCTCCTCTGCTGTGCCTCTCTGAATGGCTTTTGTCTCGGCGTAGCGAGTAAGGTAGTCGGTCGCCACTATAACTCAGCGGTTACCAACACTAGAGGTGGGAAGTGGGCCCAAAAGGTCCATTCTGATCTGGTCAAATGGCGTTGTCGGGATCTGGACAGGGCGTAGCAAACTGGCTCGTTTCGTTGGAAGTGACTTACGCCGCTGGCAATCGAGGCAGGTCCGAACATGATGCTTCACGGCAGCGGTGAGTCTAGGCCAGTAATATCTCCCTCGAACTCTGCTCAGTGTGCGCGTGTAGCCTAAATGTCCAGATGTTACCTTGTTGTGGCACGCTTGCAACACCTCAGAACGAAGAGTGGTAGGGACGACAAGCAGGTAGGTGGACCCGTCTGACGAGAAGTTCATTTTGTAAAGGACATTGTTTCGCAGACAGAACGACGATAGTCCTCTTGTAAAGGCTTTCGGGTGCATTCTGGCTTCGTCCTTCTAAATAATTAATCAAGTCAAGTAGCTCAGGATCGTCATGCTGGTGATTTGCGATGGTTGACGTGTCAAGGATTCCGAGGAACGCTGTCTTTTCATCAAAAGCAGCAGCCGACTCTATTGGTGATCGAGATAGGCAGTCGGCGTCCGTGTGTCGTTTTCCCGATTTATACACCATCGTTATATCAAACTCCTGTAGTCTAAGAGGCTCCAGCGTGCCAATCGCCTGGAAGGATCTTTCAGACTTGTTAACCAACACAACGAATGGTGGTCACTGATAACCTTGAATGGGCGGCCGTACAGGTATGGGCGAAATTTCATAACTGCCCACACCACGGCGAGGCATTCCTTTTCAGTGGTCGAGTAATTTGCTTCTGTGCATGACAGAGTTCTGCTTGCGTAAGCGATCACTGTTTCCTCGTCGTCCTGGCGCTGCACAA